TTAAAACTATAGAGGTCCTTTGGCTCAAGTAATTCTGTGTTCTGTGCTATTTCCCAAGACTGACATCCTAAAAGTAGAATGACAAGGCTTCCAGAGTGTCTTTATGCCTCCTGACTGACCCATTGTTTACAAAAGAGATTGTGCCAGTTCAGATTCCTGCTAGTATTAGATGAGGGCCTGAGTCCCTAGCCTAGGTTTACAAAAAAGATCTTGTTTTCAAATTTTACTTGGTTTTGTCACTTAGCTGAATTTTGAGATGCCTTCCTTACTGTAGTTGATCTGCGGGGTTACTGTCACCTGCCACTTGAAGGTCCTCATCCCAATATCGAGTGTTACTTTCCCAGGCGTTTATTATGAGCGGCGCTGCAGCAGCGTGGATCTAGATCATGGCGTTCTGGTGGTTGGCTATGGCTTTGAAGGAGAAGACTCAAGTAACAATACATGTTGCCAATGACACCGGCTTTGTGGACGTCCCTGGGCAGGAGTGTGCCCTCATGAAGGCAGTGGCAACCGTGGGGCCCATCTTGGTGGCTATTGATGCAAGCCATCTTAGCTTCTAGTTCTATAAAGATGGTAAGCATTGTCTGTGTAGAAATCTAGGCAGAAGAACTGGAAAACCATGACCTAAAGCAAGATTCACTCTTTGGTTTGCATACTTTCTGGGTGTGTGGATTTAGCATTGTTCATTGTGCACACACAATAGCTTTCCCTGGTGCTTCCTTTTGACATTACTTGAGCCGTATCCTCATGATTTTAAGCACTTTGTAAATATATTTAAGTGGCTACATAATTTGATTGGTATAGCTCAGTGATGGCGAACCTTTTGAGCTCGGCGTGTCAGCATTTTGAAAAACCCTAACTTAACCCTGGTGCTGTCTCACATATAGAAATTTTTTGATATTTGCAACCATAGTAAAACAAAGATTTATATTTTTGATAGTTATTTTATATATTTAAATGCCATTTAACAAAGAAAAATCAACCAAAAAAATGAGTTCACGTGTCACGTCTGACATGCGTGTTATAGGTTCGCCATCACTGGTATAGCTTAATATATTTTACCTTTTTGCAATTGTTAGGCCTTTAAAATTTTCCAAAGAATTTTACTGTTGTAATTAAAACTATAGAGGTCCTTTGGCTCAAGTAATTCTGTGTTCTGTGCTATTTCCCAAGACTGACATCCTAAAAGTAGAATGAGAAGGCTTCCAGAGTGTCTTTATGCCTCCTGACTGACCCATTGTTTACAAAAGAGATTGTGCCAGTTCAGATTCCTGCTAGTATTAGATGAGGGCCTGAGTCCCTAGACTAGATTTAAAAAAATAAAAGTTCTTGTTTTCAAATCGTACTTGGTTTTATGTCATTTAGCTGGATTTTGAGATGCATTCCTTACTGTAGTTGATCTGCGCGGTTACTGTCACCTGCTCTTGGAGGTCCTCCTCCCAATATCGAATGTTACTTCCCAATATCGAGTGTTACTTTCCCAGGCGTTTATTATGAGCGGCGCTGCAGCAGCGTGGATCTAGATCATGGCGTTCTGGTGGTTGGCTATGGCTTTGAAGGAGAAGACTCAAGTAACAATACATATTGGATTGTCAAGAACAGGTATAAACTACTAAAAATACTTACATTAGATTTTGGAAAGGGAATCCCAAGCTTGCTAGGGCATCGATACCATTTTGGTACCAATGCATTTCTAAAATTGAAAATGTCCTTAATTCTGAAACACACCTGGCCCCAAGAGTTCTCTTTTTCAATTTCTAATTTTGCAGTTCTGTGAAAGGTTTGGGGATAGAATTATATGCAGGTTTGGAACCCAGCCATGAGCAAGAACTGTGGTCTCTCCTGCTTCTTTCTGAATCGGTCTGGGCCTCAGGCACACTGTTTAAGCAACAGGTGTTATTGTTGATAAACATCGATGTGTTTGGTTACATGTATAAAATGGAAACCCCCTCTTCTTTCAGCTGGGGTACAAAGTGGGGCATGGATGGCTACATAAAGATGGCCAAGGATCTGGACAACCACTGTGGGATCGCCTCCATGGCCAGCTATCCTACTGTGTGAGATGGTGGTGACTGAGATGTGATTAAGAACAGAATAACCAGAGGATGAATATTATCTTAAAACTCATCAGAACCCTGGCTGATGTGGGTCAGTGGTTAGAGTGTCAGCCCAAGCACCCGAGGGTCTCGGGTTCAATTTCAAGTAAAGGGCA